ATTGCTGTACACAAGAGTCTAAACAATGGATCCAATTTTTATTGGAAGTGAAAAAAAAACTGTAGAAGAGTTTCTCTCCTACAAAAAGAAGTCAAACTGTGCATTGTGTGCTCATCTCTTGCTGCTCGAGAACTCATATTCAAAGACTCTACGTTCTGTCATTTCTAATGTTCCTAGACACTGTGCATCTCTCTGGGCACAATTCACAAGGCTCAGCTTGATGTATATTTTTCGTTACACTTTACGTTTGGTAAAGAAATAACTCTTTTGTCACAAACTAGCCAGTATTGAAGTTATCTTTTTACATTTTATGAAAATTTTAAATAAAAATTGTAATGAAGGGTTGTAAATATGCAAGTTCAAAATTCTGCATATTTTTAGGATATGCAGAATTTTGTAAAAATGTTTGATTCTGTTTATGCGTTGTATTTTGTTTCTGTAAGCAGAGCAGGCACGGTTTTATCACTGCCCTTTTTATACAGGCAATGAATGAAGTGGTAGAAGTATGGGTGTTAGTGACAGGAAATAATTCAGTAATGTCTTCTGGAGACATTAGACTGTTTTGCTGGAGAATGACATATATGGATAACAGAAAGCATAAGTTCTGCTTCAAAGCCTTTATTTGCCTATTAGAAATCTGTATTATATCATGTCCTGATCTGGGAGCTTCAACAATGGCATATAACAAGATAAACATTCAGTGTAATTAGGAAGATGCAGAGCAGCTGCCTTGCTGCGTTGGATATATTAAATCTACGCCATCAGTTTCATGATTGGCTGATAGGGTGAAGTTTTTAAAAGAGAAGTCCACCTTTCCGAACATGTTTCGTACTACACACGTATATTGGGTGTAACGTGAAAAACATAGTCGCAGTCTGTAGCCCCACCTTTCATACCCAAACCTCCTCCCCCCTTACAGAATTCAGGGTTCTTTTCCCAGATGGCTCCTGTCATTATCTGAATTTGGCTGAATCTGTAAATCTGTGAATGGAAAAAAACTAGTTGCATCTGTCATCGCAGCAGAGACTTGTAGATCTTATTAGAGCACAAGTGCAGTGATGTTACCACTCTTGTAGTCCATTGATATTTCCTCCAAGCAAATGCAGGCTCCAATACAAACCAATAATAAAAGCACATTTTTTTATCAATCAATATGGGTGCATTGTTTTTTAAGCTTCGGAATGCCTTTAAGGTAGAATGCCAGGCATTTTTTTATGTTTTTCATAGAGTAGGTAATGGTTAGGTTCTCAGGTTTATTTGATGTCTGTTTCTTTGTTGGGCAACTTTGCTCCCACTTCTTATCCCAGGGACTGCTGTCAATGGAACAGAAAGAAAGGGAAAAATCTCCCCAACACCAACACACCAGTAAAAAAACCCTGTTAGAGGTTCATGACCTTTCCTACACTAGGAAACAGAAGGGAGACCGAAAGCAGCAAAAGAGAGGGTCTAATTTCTCCTTACTCTATACTAAAATTCAACTGGAGTCCTACTTTAATAATACAGCCTGTAGTGCCTGTAGTAGCTGCTGTAGACCGCAATATTTGTTAAGGGCGGTTTTTACTACTTACTATGGGTTAAACAGAGTACAATATGTACAGCACTTTTTTTTTCAACAGGTAAATACTAATAGTCTCTTCCAGTGCAGTGATAGTCACAATCTGCTTATGTTTCTGTATAGGGAAGGTCAATGCATAAAAATATCTATATAGCAGTTAAAGTGACATCACTATAGCCCGTTCAAACAATCGTTTCACATATGGCACCTGTCTTTTCTATCTGTTAGCAAATTAAGAACCTATTGCTTACTTGTTTAACAACTTTCCATGTTTTTTATGCATACACCGGCAATACATGATGCATATGATGTCAAATATCTTTTCAGATAATTACAACCCTTCTATTCAACAAATTCTATTCTGTTTATGTTAAAAAGAAAGAAATTTTAAATGTGGTTATGTGCACTAAAAAAAAATAATATGTATGTGTCTAAGAGCTGCAACAGTACCATGAGATATTTATTACAGTAGAAACAATATTAAAATATACCTATTGTGCTAATATACATTTATCCAACCAATAGATGTCAAATCATATGTATAAAAAAGTCCTTTTCTTTAATGTGTATATAACCATAAAAATATATTCAAGCAGTAAAGTCTGCATGATAAAAAGATTAATCCACTCTGAATGTATACCTCAGAAGCACCACCACAATCACTCCCACGTGATTGTCACCACCACTGGGTAGAGATGTGAGCTTACCAGACAATTTTGATCCTCTATGAAAAAGAGAAGCCAAAAAGTGCTTGTGTTCAATATATCCAGGTTCCATCGCCTTCCGCCACAAGAATCAAATTTGGCCCACCAAGTTAAAAGGGATCCAGGAAACCGCTCCTCCTGTTTACACTCAGTCGTAGATTCTCAGAGGAAACATAACATGCTCTGTCACGATCGCAAGATCGCAGCCACCAACATGCGACAATCTCACGACCGTGACCACCAATATGTCACGATCGCGGCGTCAGACCCCAGACCTTTTCACCAAACTCGTGACCGAAGGACCAGCCGATCCAGACTGCGATGTGACGTGCGTAACAATGCCACACCCAGCTGCACCCTACACAGCGATTTTCCAGCTAATGGATTTCAGTCTGTGCCTGCAGCCTGGATGCGCTTGTTACTGGGTCAAGTTAATTATGCAACTGACCCTTACACTGCCACCACCCCTTTTTGTACAGAGAAAGGGGAAACTCTCTTTATCAAATATACACTGTAATGGTTGAAAAGTCGTCTGTCCAATACGGTCACAGCAGGTCGATTGGGCAGAGGATTAAACAAACACAGTAGGGTCTCTTTAGAGGCAGGAATTTGTAAATTGCAATTAAGCGCTTTAGAAACAGTCTACACTTTCAGAAAGAAAGATTTATTACTAAAAGAGTCAAACAGGTGCAATAAAATATTTACAGAAAAAGATGTAACTAAGATATATATATATATATATATATACAAAGAACCATAGCACAGCAAAGAGATATCAGAGAGGAAGTTAAAGGGTTAAGTTACTTGCCAATGAAGCCTTAGCTGTAAGCAGATCCAAGTTTCAGAGCAAAGGGTCTCCCCAAGTGGTATATTGATGTTACAATTGGGAGATGTCTTCAACTTAACTTTTTAGGCCTGCTAGCCTCCATTACAAAATGAGAAATTACACAGGTCCTTGGGCAGCTAGTCTCTGTCTCTCCTGGGGGGCTTTGTAGCTCTGGGCCCCCTGCTGCTCTACCTACCAGTGACACTTTTAACACACACACATATGTCACTGTGCCTCTCAGGAAGGGAGGGGGAAGGAGAATGAGAAATGAGAGACACAATATATACTCCGTACCAAGATGGAAGTGCTTACAAAATGGTTGAACTGCGTACTTTACTGTGTTTTGCGCAGTTTTTGCGACATGCTCCAAATAGTGTAATTCTTTAAAAACAACTTTATTAAACTTGTATTGCACTTACATATTGAGGTGTAATGCTGTACATCATACAAAACAATCAGGCAGGCATACAGGGCTAAAACCCCATCACTTCTGATTAAGTGATGTCAGCACGAGGCTCTACCCGACACATTTCGTCATAAATGAGTTCTATCATGCGCATATGATTTGATCTATTGGTTGGTTAAATGCATTTCAGCACAACCGGTATATTCTAAAATTCAATTTATCTATTCTTTTTTTAATACTTCCTAACACTTCTTTCTCCCATTAATTAGAGAACCAGAGGTACCCAGGTTGGGAAAAAAGTAGACCGTATAAGGTGGTCTGAGAAAACTCTCTTTCTATCAAATTATATTTCTTTACCCTATCCTAATTTGAATTCTCCAGATTTCATAGGCCCTGTTACATGGAGCTTTTGAGAAGGAGAATGTCAGGCTACTGACAATATATTAACCCAATCAATAGCATGGTACCCAAAAGAAGTACATCTGTCAGGGCTCCCGGGTATGACCAGAGGTGTGTGACTGACGCAGGGAAACGCAGACTTCAGATATGTTATAAACAATATATAATTTATTAACACTAACAATACAAAACATAAACGCAGTGCAATACTAAAACATAACATAGTGAAAACAAACCAAACCAACCACCCACAGATGACAGTACATACAATGCAAGCGTCGTTAGGCAGGCCGGGTCAATATCAATCGGGCAGGTAGGTAGAGGGGGAGCAAGCGGAGAATGGTCGGGGTCACAAGTCAAGTTCAGCAGGTAGCGGGGCAGCGTGGTACAGAGGGTCAGGCAGAGGAGAATGGTCAGACAAGCCAGGGATCAGGAGCAGGAGAATGGTCAGACAAAGCCAGGGATCAGAGCAGGGTCAGCAACGAATCAGACAGGAACAGGAACAGGAACAGGAAACAGGGAGCAGGAACAGGATACAGGGCCCAGGAGAAACACACACCAAGGCAGAGTCTGCAGGTCTGGCCATCCCTTAAATACACCAGTATAATCAGTTCCAGGTGTTTGACTGGCTGCAAGGTTGAGTCTCTGATTGCTGGGAGCACCCGCTGGCCAGCCCTGGTACTGCAGCTCATAAGGCAGGTGAGTCCCACCATTGCTGGCCAGTCCATTCCTGACAGTACCCCCCCCTCAAGGAGCGGCCTCAGGACGCTCCAAACAGTCCTAGCTGGGCAAAATGTTCCACCGCCCGGGTCTGGTAACTGGCGGGATATCAAAGACTGGCACACCGTGCAGGACTCCGGGCAGCGGCACACCAGGCAGGACTCCGGGCAGCGGCACACACGGGCAGGGGCACACCGGGCAGAGGCACATTGGGCTGGACTCCGGGCAGAGGCATATCGGGCTGGACTCCGGGCAGCGGCACACCGGGCAGCGGCACACCGGGCAGCGGCACACCGGGCAGAGGCACATCGGGCAGAGGCACACCGGGCAGAGGCACATCGGGCTGGACTCCGGGCAGAGGCACATCGGGCTGGACTCCGGGCAGAGGCACATCGGATTACCAGGCGAAGCAGCAGGCAGCGGGCCACCAGGCGGAGCAGCAGGCACCGGGCCACCGGGCGGAGCAGCAGGCACCGGGCCACCGGGCGGAGCAGCAGGCATCCGGGCCACTGGGCGGAGCAGCAGGCACCGGGCCCCCGGGCGGAGCAGCAGGCACCGGGCCCCCGGCGGGGCGACAGGCACCGGGCCCCCGGGCGGGGCGACAGGCACCGGGCCCCCGGGTGGGGCGACAGGCATCGGGCCCCCGGGCGGGGCGACAGGCGCCGGGCCCCCGGGCGGGGCGACAGGTGCCGGGCCCCCGGGGCTGGGCGACAGGTCTCGGGCCCCCGGGCGGAGCGGCGGGCGCCGGACCCCCAGGCGGAGCGACAGGTCTCGGGCCCCCAGACGGAGCGGCAGGCGCCGGACCCTCGGGCGGAGCGACAGGTCTCGGGCCCCCAGGCGGAGCGGCGGGCGCCGGACCCCCGGGCGGAGCGACAGGTTTCGGGCCCCCAGGCGGAGCGGCGGGTGCCGGCCCCCCGGGCGGAGCGACAGGTCTCGGGCCCCCAGGCGGAGGAGCGGCGGGCGCCGGACCCCCAGGCGGAGCGACAGGTCTCGGGCCCCCAGGCGGAGCGGCGGGCGCCGGACCCCCAGGCGGAGCGACAGATCTCGGGCCCCCAGGCGGAGCGGCGGGCGCCGGACCCCCAGGCGGAGCGACAGGTCTCAGGCCCCCAGGCGGGAGCGACAGGTCTCAGGCCCCCAGGCGGAGCGACAGGTCTCAGGCCCCCAGGCGGAGCGACAGGTCTCAGGCCCCCAGGCGGAGCGGCGGGCGCCGACCCCCAGGCGGAGCAGCGGGCGCCGGACCCCCAGGCGGAGCGACAGGTCTCGGGCCCCCAGGCGGAGCGGCGGGCGCCGGACCCCCAGGCGGAGCGACAGGTTTCGGGCCCCCAGGCAGGCGGAGCGGACAGGTCTCGGGCCCCCAGGCGGAGCCGGGCGCCGGACCCCCAGGCGGAGCGACAGGTCTTGGGCCCCCAGGCGGAGCGGACAGGGGCCGCCGGACCCCCAGGCGGAGCGACAGGTCTCGGGCCCAGGCAGGCGGAGCGGCGGGCGCCGGACCCCCAGGCGGAGCGACAGGTCTCGGGCCCCCAGGCGGAGCGGCGGGCGCCGGACCCCCAGGCGGAGCGACAGGTCTCGGGCCCCCAGGCGGAGCGGAGCGGCGGGCGCCGGACCCCCAGGCAGAGCGACAGGTCTCAGGCCCCCAGGCGGAGCGACAGGTCTCAGGCCCCCAGGCGGAGCGGCGGGCGCCGGACCCCCAGGCGGAGCGGCGGGAGCCGGACCCCCAGGCGGAGCGACAGGTCTCGGGGGGCCCCCAGGGGAGCGGCGGGCGCCGGACCCCCAGGCGGAGCGACAGGTCTCGGGCCCCCAGGCGGAGCGACAGGTCTCAGGCCCCCAGGCGGAGCGACAGGTCTCAGGCCCCCAGGCGGAGCGACAGGTCTCAGGCCCCCCAGGCGGAGGCGGCGGCGGCGGGCGCCGACCCCCAGGCGGAGTGACAGGTCTCGGGCCCCCAGGCGGAGCGGCGGGCACCGAGTCACCAGGCACGACAGTGGGCTCCGAGTCAACTGGCATGACCGCTGGCACTGGGTCAGACATTGGATCATCTGGCTGGACAGCGGGCATCGGATCACCAGGCATCAGGTCATTTGGCTCGACAGCGGGCACCGCGTCATCTGGCAAGGCAGTGGGCTCCGAGTCAACTGGTATGACCGCGGGCACTGGGTCAGACATTGGATCGTCTGGCTGGACAGCGGGCATCGGGTCACCAGGCATCAGGTCATTAGGCTTGCCAGCGGGCACCGCGTCATCTGGCAAGGCAGTGGGCACCGGGTCACCAGGCATTGGATCGTCTGGCTCGACAGCGGGCATCGGGTCACCAGGTATGACAGCGGGCTCTGAGTCAATTGGCATGACCGCTGGCACTGGTTCAGACATTGGATCGTCTGGCTGGACAGCGGGCATCGGGTCACCAGGCGTCAGGTCATTTGGCTCGACAGCGGGCACCGCGTCATCTGGCAAGGCAGTGGGCTCCGAGTCAACTGGTATGACCGCGGGCACTGGGTCAGACATTGGATCGTCTGGCTAGACAGCAGGCATCGGGTCACCAGGCATCAGGTCATTTGGCTCAACAGCGGGAACCGCGTCATCTGGCAAGACAGTGGGCACCAAGTCACCAGGCACGACAGTGGGCTCTGAGTCAATTGGCACAACAGCGGGCACCGGGTCATCAGGTACCGGATTGTCTGGCTCGACAGCGGGCATCGGGTCACCAGGTATGACAGCGGGCACTGGGTCACCAGGCATCAGGTCATTTGGCTTGCCAGTGGGCACCGCGTCATCTGGCAAGGCAGTGGGCACCGGGTCACCAGGCATTGGATCGTCTGGCTCGACAGCGGGCATCGGGTCACCAGGTATGACAGCGGGCACTGGGTCACCAGGCATCAGGGTCATTTGGCTCGCCAGCGGGCACCGCGTCATCTGGCAAGGCAGTGGGGGCACCGAGTCACCAGGTACGACAGCGGGCTCTGAGTCAATTGGCACGACAGCGGGCACCGGATCAAATACCGGATCATCTGGATCAACAGCGGGCATCGAGTCAACTGGCCTAATAGGATCATCAGGCTGGATCAGTTCATCATGCTGGGTAGAGGCATCAGGCTGAGTGGAGGCATCAGGCTGAGTGGAGGCATCAGGCTGAGTGGAGGCATCAAGCTGAGTGGAGGCATCAGGCTGAGTGGAGGCATCAGGCTGAAGAGAGGCATCAGGCTGAAGAGAGGCATCAGGCTGAAGAGAGGCATCAGGCTGAAGACAGGCATCAGGCTGAAGACAGGCATCAGGCTGGGTACAGGCATCAGGCTGGGTACAGACCTCAGGCTGAAGTGCGGGTGCCGAGGCACCAGGCTGAACCACGGAAGGCAGGTTCTCAGACGGCAGGCTCACCGGTTTGGATACTGGCAGGATGGTATTGGTTGGAAAGAATTTTCGCTTTTTTCTGGTTTTTAACTACTGGAGCACTGCAAGTAAACGCAGGTCTGCAAACGAATGGAGCAGCTGGAGACAGAGAAGAGCTGGAGGATGGAACAGGGGAGGGAACAGTTGCTACAGAGGGCTTTTTTACAGGGTTAAAGGCAGGATAGGTGCAGCGAGTGGGAACAGGGGACTGACATGCGGTAGATAGCAGGGCAGGAGAAGCTGTTGGGAATGCAGGAATAGAGCTTTGAGAAATAGATTAGAAGCAGGACTGGTTATTGTAGGCTGACTGAGGCTGGGTGCAACAAATCTGTCCATGTCTGCAGTATGGGTTGAACAAAGCTGAGCTTACACAAAGCCTGTCTGACCAAAGACTGCACTGCGTTTATACAATCTCTTAGTATCTGTGGTGAACATGCAGCATAATGCTCCAAGAAGCAATCCACATCATCCTCTAATAACCATACCAGGGACTCTACCTGGTCGGCACTAAATGGCGGCAAAAATTCATCCCTGCATTCGGGGTACCAGATGAAACCAACTCCGCACAAATCTGAATCAATGGCTGCACCTCAGAGAATTCTGTGCCCTGATCTACTAGAACATGAGCGAGCCGTATACATTCTAGCAGTTCATCCCGGGGATACTCCTTCAGAGTTTGATAAGCATACTCTCTGTCATCAAACACTAGCAGATATAAATACACAACCTCATCAAGATCCATCCTTCCCATCAACAAACCAAGATGGCTTCCCTGTGCAGCCACTTCTGGTCAGGATTGGCCTTGGTGTAATGTCAGGGCTCCCGGGTATGACCAGAGGTGTGTGACTGACGCAGGGAAACGCAGACTTCAGATATGTTATAAACAATATAATTTATTAACACTAACAATACAAACATAAACGCAGTGCAATACTAAAACATAACACAGTGCAAACAAACCAAACCAACCACCCACAGATGACAGTACATACAATGCAAGCGTCGTCAGGCAGGCCGGGTCAATATCAATCGGGCAGGTAGGTACAGGGGGAGCAAGCGGAGAATGGTCGGGGTCACAAGCCAAGTTCAGCAGGTAGCGGGCAGCGTGGTACAGAGGGTCAGGCAGAGGAGAATGGTCATACAAGCCAGGGATCAGGAGCAGGAGAATGGTCAGACAAAGCCAGGGATCAGAGCAGGGTCAGCAACGAATCAGACAGGAACAGGAACAGGAACAGGGAGCAGGAACAGGATACAGGCCCAGGAGAAACACACACCAAGGCAGAGTCTGCAGGTCTGGCCATCCCTTAAATACACCAGTATAATCAGTTCCAGGTGTTTGACTGGCTGCAAGGTTGAGTCTCTGATTGCTGGGAGCACCCGCTGGCCAGCCCTGGTACTGCAGCTCATAAGGCAGGTGAGTCCCACCATTGCTGGCCAGTCCATTCCTGACAACATCTGGGTCAGTTTTGAGGCCATACATATTTTAAAGGCTTAATGATAGTTATCCAAACTTGATGAACCAATAGGCTCTGAGCAATTTTAGAGTTTAAGCAACAGAAAATTAGCTTGGTCTCTTAATGAAGTATTATGAGAATAAGACTAGAAACCTTTGGCCTTGGGGAAAAGCACAACCTTTTAATAGTAAGATTTCTGTGGCCTAATGTACTGCACAGAGTCGATTATGATGCCAGATTGATTGGTGGGCATAGAAAAAGGTATATGTTTATAAAGGATTGTGACACATCTTCCAGCATCAGCTTCCTTAAAGAGTTTTGCGTTAGGTTACATGATCTCATGAAGCCACAAAAACGTTTGATGTTGGAATACCTCTCTCTACCAGGCACTCTGATCACAGGTCTAAGCAGAGATCAAGAAGCTCCCCTGCTTATATTTCTCTATGATTGGGTATTTGTCTACATTGTGATTTGTCAGGATTTGGGCAAGAGAGAAACAGTGAGACAGTAAAAGATGTACATACTATAAGATTGCAGCTTAATTTATAAATCCCCCACTTCCACTCACATATCACAAGTAACACATACTGTATCAATATTAAACCTGCTTAAAGCGGAACAAAAAACTAAAATTAGGAAAAAAAACTGTGAGCACTGCTGGCAGACTGTTTGTTGCTGGAAAACATGTACAATGTCTCTTCTACAATAAAATGAACCTACTTGCCTTCTCACAGTCTTCTGTAGGATGTACAGTGAGCTGCACATACACAACTCAGTTTAGATTCTGGCATAGAGCCTGTGTGTCAGGATGACTGCACTGCTGCGCATGCACAGGAATGATGTCATCATTCGCTCTGCGATGAAGACAAGCACCTGGAAGAAGCCGGGGAGAAGATACTGGTGAGGTAGCTCTCACAGGCGTCAGACCACTGAAGCAATGGTAATGATTGCAGAGTTTAGGTTCACTTTAACTATACACCCGTCTCTGATCCTTGTAGAACTGTCTCACTTGCATATAACCTTTACAGTTGTCCGCTTAGGATTGCAGGCACAGGGGTCACAAATACACTCAAAACCTTCCACTAATCCTTTACTAATGAGAGGCAGTTGGCTTTGCAGTAGCCTTATTTTCTTCGTGTCTTGCTTGAGTAATCCCCCTCAGTGACTGGTTATCAAGTACACTAATTATCATATTTTTACCACCTACATATAGGTTTGTATGAGCTGATACTGAGACAACCATTAGGTTATGCTCTACTTGAATATGCACACAGTAGCATGATACATCAAACAGCCATAAAGCAGCATGTGATTACCTTGTAACACTACCTTATAGTTTTAGGTGATGATTGTAAAGCAGGCATGTAATTTTTGTTTTTGCCTAAAACCGAAGAGATGCAGAAGTTAGCGCTGGTCTAATTATTTTCAGTTTACTTTGGCCAGCTGAGCAACAAAGTCTTTATTGATCAGTTTTTGTTACACTATACTTGTGTTCCTATGTTGGCTGGAGTGTCACATGCTGAATGACTTTATAGTACTAAGCTCATAGGCATTCAGAATAGTAATGTCTGAATGGCAGAAAAACACAGCTAATACAGACAGCTGTCTCTAGAATGGCAGCTGGGATACCTCCTGTGTCACTTATTGGTTGTGCCTGCTGTCTATTAGTCTATGACCTTCACTGATCAGGAAGGACACATAGAGGATAAACATATAGGCTTCAATGAAACATGCCAGGGAATGTGCAGAGTTCAGGCTGGTTGTACTTCAAACTCAGTAAAATTAGCAAGGAACATATGAATGATCTTATAAGTAGAGAGTAAGCTGTTTAGCCACTTCATATTTTTCTGTGGGTTTATTTTGTTATGGGAGATGTTAAAGCAGTATTAAAGTGGTAGTAAACCTAAAAAAGATTTTCCCCTGTAAGGTAATGGCATAATGTGTTAGTATGCATCGCATACTAGCACATTATGAAAGACTTACCTGAGAACTAAGCCATCCAGTGGCACGCTATAACTGCTGCAGAGGTTTCCATCTGCATCCGGTCTTCCCTCGGAGTTTCTGGGCTGCGGCATGTGCACTGGAGCTACGGCTGCAGCACACAGCTCTGAAGGAACAGCATGGGTATGCCTTTCCTTCAGAGCATGTACATCGGTGAGGTCGCCTGCTGCCGCTCACCAGAATATCTCCTAAATAGTGCACGTTTAGGAGATATTCATTTTACCTACAGGTAAGCTTTACTATAAGCTTACCTGTAGGTAAAAACTATACAAAACTTAGTTTACTACTACTTTAAACCCAAAAGCAAACATTTATTGTTCTGCAGCTTATTAATTCTTCGATGTGATGGTTGCATTCGTTTTTTAGGATTTCTTTCTTCTATTTTCATCTGGTGATTGAGCCAGCAGGTCTGCTGTGTTTCAGAAGCTCAATCTCTCCAGCAGAATGTATCAGTTTACATGGCTGATACCATCCATTTACTACTGACAGGGGTGATTAAAATGACCAGCTTTAATTTGATCATGTAAAACCTTCATCTCAAATGTAAAAAATGGTTTGCTCTAACTGATTATAAAGTGTGAGCACATACTTCTTGTGTAAGAGAAATCTCCCTGACTAAAACTGCTTGGGTGCTGCAGAATGGCTTATCTGAGCATCTGCATAGACTTAGGTACACCCCTGCCAGTTCACAGCTATGAGGCGTTACAAGAGCTAAGGCAATAAGTAAACCATTGTGGGATAGCAGGTGTCTTTTCTTTCGGAACAAAGTGGGCAGCTGCCCTAGGTCCCACAGTCCTGGTGGCCTATCAAAGGATGACTTTTGGGTCCCAAGCTTATCTGTAAATAGGTACAAAAGAGAAGACCTACCCTCAGATCAGTCAGCTTCTGAGGAGTGAATGAGGAGCTCCTCCTCCCTAACAGGAATATAATTAGCAAAAAAAAACCACTAGAGGTTCTAACTTTTCTCTCACTCCCACTTTTTCCAAAAAGAAAAACATTTATTGTCTGAACTTTAAAGGGCAGACTAACAGTGTCCTCTGATATTTCCTCCCCCACCTCAAAGTACATTCACCAGTTCATGGTCCCTTGTCACTCCGGTGTCAACCCTGAGTAAGTTCTATTGTCAAATGTTGTTCAAGCTAACCTGGGTAGATGACATCACTGTCATGCCCCCTACCCTCATTTTTAGTAGCATAAA